GAATCTATAATAGACATTTTACTATTAAGTTAAATTGAGTAAAAGTGTAATAAAGAAAATTTGAATCTTAACACTGACGTCTGTGTTTTGCACTAAACCGAACCAAAGGAAGAAGATGGTTGCTGCAGAAGTTGTAATCAACTTTATTTAACTCAATGCATAAGTTCATATTTCACAGTCAAATTCACTACAAAATCTACTTAAGATAGTTAATATTAGTCTTTTAACATAATAAACTAATATTTTTTATCGTTGTTGTCTTAAAATATTAGATTTACCCTTGACTTTTTAATTTTTTATAGATATGATCAAGTCAATGTCTTTGCAGTTCGTTCATTCAAAGTCTTTCTTTATGACTTTACATGAGTAAAACATGTAAATCAAATTCCCAAAAAAAATATATAAAAAAAAACTTGAAACACAATAAAGCTCAAATTAGAGTGATTATAAACGGCTGACAATTAGAGAAATTCATGTTGACTATTACACAAATAACAAAAAAAAATCAAATGATGAATAATAGGCAATTGAAACCGAAATACATATTACAAATTAAAGATTGGTACTCGGTAATCATGTGTGTGTGAGTGAGAGAGAGAGAGAGAGAAAGGAGAGATTGTCTCTTAGGGGCAACATCTGCAAGTTTTAAATGAACTTCTTAAGAGCCTAAAAGTTCTTTTTTTTTGTTTTTGCTGCTTGCTGTCTCGGTCGAAGCAATCAAAGCATCATATCTCTCTTCAGCATCTATCAAGCAACAATATGAATATTTAAACATGAAAAAACAAAACAATATTATAAGAGTAACTTTGTGATTCTAGAGTCACCATGAGTAAGAGGAATAGTTAGAGACCACTTTGTGACCATTTAAAACCATTGTTTCATAATTTTAAGAGCCTAATTTTGAAATTATGGTAGTTATTAAGTGAAGAATATTTGACTTTAAAATATTAAAATAGGGTAAAATAGAAGAATAATTTTTTTTCAAGATAGTTGGCATTTATATAGAGTATAGTATACAATAAGATTAAAATAATTGTATAGTATTGATACTTATTTTTTTTAGGACCATACAACAAAATATTATATTGGAAAGTAAAGACATTTTTTTGAGGTGCCTAAAATCGATTCTAAAATTTTAGGATTGAACTTAACATTTAGGATCAATACTTATTAAATATTTGAAAATATATATATAACTTGACATCTGAAGTTTTTTTTTTTTTAGGATCAAATAAAATGTTATGATGCATTTTTTTTTGGTAGAATTTGTATCCAAAATAATATAATTTAATACACAAATTTATAATTTTTGATATGATATTTCATCTAGTACTGTCTTCTTATACATAACAAAATATGTTCAAGGGTAATTTAAATGATTAACTATAAAAAAAATATAAAAGTAATTTGAAGAATTAACTATAAATGGATACAAGAGCCTTTATAATATTTTATAAGGACAAAATAGTCAATCAAAAAAATTTTATGTTAAAGTTTTTTATTAGTAGTATAAATTATTATTTTTTTGGTTCGAACATTTACTAATAGTTAGTCCATGCCTTTTTTTCAAGAATTGTAACCGAGGGAGATATCATTTGTCTTGGAAAAATTATTAGATTAAAATCTAATTACCTCAACGAATTACTTATTGGATTAAAGGCTCTTTGAAAATGAATTTTCCCCCTCATTTTTTCAGTGCGATTCGGACCAAAGATATCAAAAGTTTCTATCGTCTTGAAGTTCGACTCAAGAAGAAAGTAATAGTTTATTGGATATTTTCTAATTTAAGGATGATTATATATATTTATAATTTATAGTTAATTATCTATTTGATCTTTGAACTATATCGTTTGTATCAATTAAGCCCATAAACTAAGTTTTGTGTTAATTAAACCCCTAAATTATACAATATGATTAAATGTGGCCCTTCCACCAAAATTCACTTGGCGAAAATCCTCACGCGCAAATCTCTAAGTCATACATTTGGCTATAGTTTAGAGGTCACGTAATGTGCACGTAAAAAATTTCAACAAATTTTAAGTGGATGACAATATTGAGTCAGATTGCATAGTTCAAGAACTAAATTAACACAAAAACGTTGTTCAAGAACATGATTAACACAAATAATATAGTTCAGTAGCTAAACAGATAATTAACTCTAAAATTAATCTTTTCCCTATTAATCTAAAAAATAAATAGTTTAGACATTCAACATATATGTAATGGATTTGTTGAAAAAAAAATTGTGTATAGTGAGAACCTCACCCATTGATTTTTTTTTATTCAACGATCGGGAGTGTTTGGATTAATTTGCATATATTTTGACTAATCTTCTCTCTCCCAACAATTTTGAAAAAAAAAAAAAGGACATAAACTTATGCTTCTAAAGACGTTGCCCTTTTAATCACCTTCAAGGCGAAGGATTTTTAGCCTTACCTAATTGTAGACTCACATTTAAGTTCGAATGAAAAAGACTTAAAATTCATCGTTAGTCTCCTCAAATAAAATCTATAATATAAAATAGAGTATGTTTCAATAAGTACATCCGATAATTTCAAATAGACTCATTCAATAGTCACTAATATTCCTCTTAAAGTCATTCATATTATATTGTACCTTTTAGGCACGAGTTACCGTAATCCAATTAAAAAAAACTCAAATATAAACTAAATAGAAGAAAAGCTAAAGATGGAGGTAGAGAGACAAAAAAAAATTGAACTACAACCAAAATGTAAAAATATATATATATTTTTGGAATAATATGAGAATTTAATGGGTGAATCGCACTTTATACCCCAAAAGAATTCAATACATCGAATGATTAATTTTTCTACATCGTACCCTCCATGTCATAAAACGATTGCAATGTGACTCTCACATTAACTTTTGTTATCATATTCTTATAATCTTAGTTCATTTCAAGGGGGAACTACATAGCAAATTTATTAACAATTGTAACGGAAGTTAGTGTGAGAGTCACGTTATAACTATTTTATCACATTGAAGATGCAATGTGAAAAAGTTAATCATTGAAGATACAAATTAAAATATTTTTGAGGTGTAAAGTATGATTTACTCAAATTTGAGTACAAAATTTAGTTTGTCCGTTGGAGGGGTATAAATTTAGTGGTGACAAAATATGACACGACTTATTAACACGACACGACACGAAATTAGAGGATTAGAGTTTTTTTTAAGTCTCCTATTTCGTAAACGAGTAAATCTAACATAACACAATTAATAAACGAATCAGGTATGAGTAAAGTCAACCAAAAAAACACATGACACAATTTGTTTATATATCTGTTATACACGACACAAATCAAATATGACACGACTCGTTAGACACGAATTAATAAACAAATCAGATATGAGTGAATTAATGTTTAACACAAACTCGCTAAAACCCAACATGAACCTGCTTTCCCGGCACAATTGACTTAGTATAAATCAAATCAAACTTAATTTTTTAAATAAATTTAGCGAGCTTTTTTTCTTTTTCATTTTTATAGACACTATTATAAAGAGAGTAACACGAGATTCAAACCCATGATGTTTTTAAGTCCAATAAAAGGACCATGAGTCCATGTCAGGGGCTGTAATTTGGGCTGGTCAACTCGAACCTAACCCGATAAAAAATAGGACTTAGGTTAAAATTTTTAATACCTAGGTTAGGTCTGGATAAAAAAACTTCAATCTAAATTGAATTTGGATAAACATCGGATTGAGGTATCATGTTGTCTTGTTCAACTCGAATATTAAAATTGGGTTGAACCCGGATATACATAAATATATTTAACTAGGGTTAGTATTTATCTTCATTCTTTAAAGTCCAAACTTTTACTTCACTTCAAGTATTTACTCTTGCCCTTCCATCACTCTCAGATCCCTCACTAATTCATCACTCCTCCCTCTCTCAATCGTTACTTGTCTGAATCGTCTTAAAATCTCAACCTCCCTTCTCATTTGTCACTCTTCATTATCTCACTCTTTCTCTTTTTTTATCTGTGTCTCGCCTTTTATCTCAGATCACTTGAAAAATCAGATCTACACTTGATAAAATCAAATTTATACTTCGAAAAATAACCTGAATTAAGTAACTCAAACTTAACCCGCTTTTAAACCCAAAATCAGTTTGAATTAAGTAATATGGATTCAACCCAAACTCGCCTGAATTAAACTCGAGTAGTTCTCAAGTTGACTACCTCGGGTTGAGGTAAGATTAAGGTTAAAATTATAATTAAAAGATTATACATTTAGGTTGGGTTAGATTGACCTCTTAGCCCACTCAACTCATCCCAATTGCGCCCCTGGTCCATGTCAATGGCCAACGACTAGCCTCAATTTTTTAAGTGAGTTTGAATGAGCTTATACGGTGTTTATTTTCAAGTTGAAAACTTAATGATCTGTTTGGTTAGGAAGAAAAAAATAATCAAAAGTGAAAATAATAGAAAGTGAAGTAAAATAAAAGAAAATGATAAAAATATATTTTTATATATGTATTTGGTTAGAATGAAAAATTTATGGAAAAGTTTTAAAAAATTTTCATTCTATTGTTTGAAAAAAAAAATTATAAGAAATTTTTTATAATTATCTAAATTACCCTTAATTATATTAAATTGGTTTAAAAAAGAAAAAAATGTAATTATAATTAAAAGTTAAAATTTTTTAAAAAAATGGCCAGAAACTTATTTTTAAGACAATCACCAAAGGTATTTGAGCCAAATTATATGAGTAATCAAATTCATACCAAAATTTTTTAAAATTAATAACTAATAAAATATTTTTAAAAAAATAAGAGTAAAATAGAAAATTAGTTATAGATCAAAACTTTTTTGTATTTTTTTGTGTTTTTTTAAAAAAAAAAATTAATTATTTGTGAAAAAATTAAAGAAAAATTATTTTTTCCATTATTTTTCTTTTCATTCTAACCAAACATTTAAAAATTTAAAAAAATTTCTTTTTCTCGTATTTGAAAATCGAAGAAGAGAAACACAGCAATGGGTTCATCCACTGCTCTAGAAAAACTACAACGAGAGCTACAGATCGAAGCCAACGATCTCAGTGAACTTCAAAAAGGCGAGTGATCATCACTGTCTTTCCCTCCTCCTCCAATCAACCCTAACATCATGTAGAAACAAACTTCGTTTATTCTTTCATTCTTTCTTTCCCATTCACATCGTTGTAGTTACATAATTATGTACATATGCACTTCTTCAGATATATTAAAGAACCACCAAGTGAGAAAGAAGTACACCATTCAGTTGGGTGAGAACGAGCTTGCCCTCAAGGTCTCCCCCCACTCTCTTATCTCTATCTAAACGTGTGTGTTTTGGTATAATTTCTTAATTGTTGTGATTAATGGGTGGTTCACTGATTTGGGTTTTGAAGTAGTTGAATTCATTGAATGAAGATACGAATTTGTGCATATTGGAAGGACCGGTGTTTGTGAGGCAGGATTTAGCAGAGGCGAATGCGACTGTTCGCAAGAGAATTGAGTACATCGCTGCTGAATTGTACGTTATATTCGTATTATATGATTCATTTGTGGAGTTTTGCCAATTTGTGCACGTTTGTTTAGTTGATCTCGTGGGTTATTTTTTCAAATTTCTTTACTGAGTTTTTTTTTTTGTAGATGTTTATGTGGTTGGCTTTCTGTTTTGTTCTTGACATAAAAACAGTAACGAATTGTATGTAGTTCAAAGCATCATTACATCAGATGCAAGGAAATCCCAAGAAAATCCACCAGAAAATAGGAACATCGATTTTCCAAGAAACACAATTAGTCATTGATAGAACCTGTGGATCTTGGTGACTACTGCCGGGTGAGCCAGTCTTAGTTGGTCTCTTAGGTGGTTTCTTATTGGTCTCTTGGTTGGATGGTATGCCTTATGTGATGTATAGCCTTGATTCTTTTTGCTATTTTCCATGTAATGCTTTCGGTTGGACCTCTTGTCCAACAATATTACTGTAACATTTTCTGTGATCAATGAAGTTATTTATTTTTTTCTCATGAAATAATGTAAGGAAAAAAAGAACTTGTATTTGTGCCACAAAGTGTTTGCAATTGAATCAACTACATCTCTGCTCAACTTAATATCTCTGGGTGTTACGTATCAATTGACGCAGTGCGTTCTGTTCTAGCAATTTGGTTAAGTAATCTAATTGTAAGTAATTAATTATCATGATTAAAGCTCACCTTCTCCATGACTTGGTCATTGGAATTATAGGGTATAATCAAAACATTTTATGTTCTTCTGACTTGTGGTGGTAGATAATACTTGTGAAAGACGAACATGTCTTCAAAGCAATATGAGTTTTCCTTTACTTATGCCCCTGCTTATTTGAGCGAATGTTCTCTTTTCTGTAATCTATATAGGTGGGAGCCAAACTGATAATCCATGTAAAGTTGGGTTCTATTACTTTATGTCCCTTTTCATGGTTCTACCGGTGATGGTGGTGGTTCTTTTGAAATTTCCTTAGACTATAGAATTGTTATATTTGCAGGGAACGCATGGATGCAATTCTTCAAGATTTGGAAGAAAAACAAAATAGCAAGAAAGATGTGGTTGGTACCTTCTTTATTTCATAATGCAATTATTTTGATGGTTATTAATGAGTTTACGGTGAAGCTGATGCTAACTGTCTTAATGTTTGGGAACTTATCAGTTGTCGGATAGTATTTGGGTGAACAAGTATTGCATCCCCCCCCCCCCCCCCCCCCCCCCCCAAAACCCAAAAAAAAAAATGCTAATATTTTTTCAGTAAAAAGATCAACTTCTAAAATATATAGCTGTTTGATATTTTTTGCTCTAAAAAAGTGCAAGGTAAACTTAAAATGTTTGATATCACTATTTGAATTTTCTTGGTCTTTCCAATAAACTGATGGCATTAAGTTGTCAGGCGGTTAAGTGGATTTTGTAAGAAGAGTGAAGGTGCTCTGTAGAAGCTCTTGATCTTAATTCGATGGGCTTCTGGTTAGATAATGAAACTTTGGTATTACAATCAGATGCAAATGCCAGAGCAGCATGCTGGTATAACTTTGTTGTTTTTTTTGTTGACTGGACTTCAAAATCTCTTCTTGTCCATTCAAGCTAAGTAGAGAAGGCATGTAAGTTGGCGTCTTTGATTTAAGTGTTTGTCTGTATGATGGGACAGGCAGATGGTAGCAGTGAATTATCTTGTTCTAGTTTTTGAGTGACTAAGAGACAGAATGAATAATGTCAATATATAAGGCACACCTCTACATGAGATGATTTCAGTGAAGTTTCATCCATGTTAAACTGTAACATGCACAAGAAATATCGCTTACTCTGCAGGATTGTAAGAGCTTTAAACGAAGAGTGATAGTGAAGCCCTTAAGTCTTATTGTTTTGGTCCAAAACGACAATCATTCATTGGAGCCGGCCAGATCTACTAACAGTGAAAACCCTGCTCTTGAAGTAATTTTGCTTCATGCTGCAGTTGAAATAAATAATTCGTTGCCCTTTCTTTGTTATTTTTTGGCTGTCTAGTTCCATTTCTGGAAATTTTGTTCAGTGTTGATTAGAGCAGTGAGCTAGGCCTTCGAAAGTGCTAATAGAGAAATGTTCTTACAGACTTACCTGCATACATACGCTTTGCATTAGCTGCTGCTTATTTAACCAGCTGAAATAGGCCCTTTTTCCCTCCTCTTTACCATTCCTGTTGGGATTTAACACGATTTAAATCCACTAACAAACACACACAATCGAAGAACAAATCAAGAATATAAAGCAATAAGAAACAAGAAAGAACGAGACACAGATTTTACGTGGTTCGGCAATTTGCCTACGTCCACGAAGCTGCAGGGATTTCACTATTGAGAGAGTTGAATACAGAGAGCGGCTGTACAATCCACTATTTTAACCCTAATCACCAAAACAACAGGGTTTATATGTCCTACGCACTGGGCTGTATAACGGGCTCAAAGTCTTCGCTCCATGGACTAAGCCTCATAAAATTTTCCATTAAAAACTATACAACATTACTTCGGGTCGGGTCATCATCCGGATTACATCTACAAACTAGACTCCATAAAAAAAACCAACAATTCCTTCTTCTCCTTTGCCCATTAATCTCCACCTCTCACATTTGGTTTTCCCTAGTGGTGGCTGGGTTGTGAGCAGCAAAAACTCATATTTTTTAATTTGTGTCAAGCACACATAGCTATTCAAAAGAATGATATGATGTTATTTTTTGTTTTCTTTGCAGATTTTGAAGTTACAACAAGGAATTCAATCACTCTATGCTGGAAAAGCCAAGACATAAACACGTTTCGATTGGGTTGTGCACTTAACATGCAATAGTCATTTTGGTCTTTCTACGGTATGGATGAAGTGCTTCTCTTGTTTCTGAGATTAAATGTAACTGTCTGAAACTCGTTGCGTAAAAGGCTGCTAGATTTGGTACTGAACGTGATACAAAAATGTCAATGAAATTCTGTTAATGGCATTGCTAAAGTAATCAATGGCACTACATGTATTCAAACTTCTGTATACCATTACTGCTTGTTAATAGAACTGAAAGACCTACATGCAGTTGAGAACCTTAACTTGAATCCATTGAGAAATCTTGGTGTTTTCAGTTTACAATTTTTGTTTTTTACAGTGTAGGACATAGATGCAAAATAGCACAGAATGTCTTTTATGGCCAACACTAATCATGTTACTTGGTCTGGATTTAACTCATAAGGTGTTGTATATGAAGCTTTATAGTGAGTACCAAGCCAATTCAAATTTCATCCTCTATCATATCACCTCATGAAAATTTTGAACATTCACATTCATTTTACCAAGGAATTCAACATGAGTGGCCAACCCGACCTAAAATTGGCATGAAGTATTAGAAATGCGTTAAGAACATAATCGGGATGACTTGTAAAACCCGTTTGATACATGCATCTGTATGAATTAGATTATAAATGATATGAATTTGATTATACATGATTTTATATAGGCATGACAGAAATGCAATACGACAGAAACTCAACTCACTATTAGCTGTAATTTTACCTCATTGAACATTTGCAATTATTATTTTGCTACCAGAACAAAAATAACAAAAGCCATACAAGACAGAAACTCAACTCACTATTAGCTGTAATTTTACCTCATTGAACATTGCAATCATTATTTTGCTACCAGAACAAAAATAACAAAAGCCATACAAGTACATTACAAGCCAATGCTATTGCAAGGAAACTTTTTTCCAATTTTTTCACACAATTTGCTTTTAACAGTGACTAAATTTTCATTGGGTTCAAACATAAATGATGGGACACTTCTGAGAATTAACAGGGTAGTTGACACGTGTCCTTGGCTTGGTTGACGTGGGCAAACTATGGATTAACACGTGTTCTCGGCGTCAAGACCCCTTGTGAGTGACACGTGTCCTTAGCACGTATCTCCCTCGGAGCCCTTTGCCTCTGACACGTTTCCTTGGCAGGGGTTCACCCTCGGAGCTCCCCGCATCTGACGTGTGTTCTCGGCATGACTACCCCCTAGAGCATCCTCTATATTGACACGTGTCCTCGGTGTGCGTGACGCCCCAAGGTCCTCTGCCATACACGTCACCTCGGCTGCAGACCCCCCACGCTAGCGAGGTATGAATGACGGTTCTATGGTTATCATGACTTAGAATCAGAATTGGTTAATAATCATTGATTCCTTTTCCCAAAGTAGTCAAAATGATAGAAGGAGCAGGTTAGTAACCAATAACAGTGATGCACGAGGTGCAGAGCATAGAATTGGGAGTCAATGGACAAGGGTGTCCCTACGCGTGTGCAACCATTACAAGGAAACATTAAATGAACCTTTAGAAGGATAAAACACATTTATTGTTCGGTGAACTTCGGAAGGAGAGCATTAAATGCTCGGGGATTCGAGTATTAAATGCAAAAACTTCTTTTAGCATGGTAAGAAGGAAATTCTGCCCAAGGAATGTGCTCCACAGGTCACCTTCCACATGGGCCAATGAGGAGCCTTCTCTCCTGGGGATCCACTTGTCTGCAATGATTACTTTCATGGAAGTATATATAGCTCTCTCACAAACTTGAAACAAAGGTATACACATTCTCACCCACTCAATAGAACAATGATTTCCCACCCCCCTCTCTCACGTATTAACTTGATTGCCGGAGGGATCACGCCGGAAAACACTCTGACGCCCTTCTATCATTTCTTTTTGAGTGACAGGACTCATCTCGATAAGTCAAGAGCAACCAGATAGAGAGAAAAGAAATTCATCACCAATCCTTACGCCATTCCTCAACATCCATTTGCTACAAAACCCTCGACTTTTCAGGTAATACTCGAATTCACCAGAGGAGAGATCTGTCCATTCATCTGTTGTGCAGAAATTATCATGCACAATAAATAACAGGAGTTTTCTGGATTATTTCTGTGACCCATCTCTTCAACAAACCAAGTTCATCTTTTGCAAATTTGTGACTTAGTAACTCTCCACAAGTGTCATTTCCGCCATGAAAAAAAGTTTCCCGTCTCTCTAAAATGGCAGAAAACATCCGTTTTTGTTGGAAATATTGGTTAAGAGCTCCAAAACATCAACATTCACGTCTCTTCAGCTCATGTTTCTAAGAGGTACTGGTATCAATATGCATGCATAATGGGCAGCATGGTATCCTATACTGTCACCACAAAGAAGAGATGACGTTAAATTTTTGTTTTTTTTTTCTTCAAACCTACAGGAAATTGTCTACAAGTGAAATGAAGCTCAAAGTGTTGAGTTGCTGGATATTAGGTATGGTTTAAAGTATTGGTTGATATTGATATTATCGGGTAAAGTCATATTTGACTCGGCATCTTTTATATAGTACTGCTCCCTGTTCTAAATACATGTACGGTAACTCATACATGTGATATAGAACATCTCTAAGTCAACTCAGGCGGTTCAAGGTAAATCGGGGCACTAGGCGAAAACTTCACACAGGGGCCTATTAATATATATTATTTTTAATTATTAAAATTCAATTTTTTTTAGATGCAAAATATTGATCAAGTTTTTATATTTAAATTTTGACAATAAATCATTCTCAATCGATAGTATAGTTAATTCATTCAATCTGAATAGGTCGTAAATAAGATATTATCAATTAAGTTTAGAACAAACAATTTAAATTTGGACTTAGCCTAGTATAGAGTAATTTTAGACCAACAAAATTAGATATTAATTTGAATTCTTAAAATTTAGGCTCTAAAAATTTGGATAATATCTAAAATACAAAACAAAAATTAGGCCTACTATCCTAAACGACAAATTTTGGGGGGCCATCTTAAAGTTGGGTTTAATGTAGACAATAATTTTAGGCCTAACAAAATTAAATATTACTTTAAACTCGTAAAATTTGAATCATATCTAAAATATATATAAAAAATGCCTACTCTATTAAGGGTAAATTTTTTGGACCTTCTAAAATTTGGATTTAACTAAGTAGAGAGTAATTTTGATCTCACGAAATTAGATATTGATTTAAACGCTCAAAATTTGGGTCATAAAAATTACAAAAAAAAAAAAAAAAGAGTAGGCCTCTTGTACTAATATTTTTTCGGGGGCCCGCACACAACTACCATAGTTGCCTATGCCTAGGGCGGGCACTGACTCGAGTCATCATTACGATCGAATAAAATCAGCCAATATTGTTCCATAACAATGTAATACAGTGTGAATCATTTGTCACGTTTAACTCATTCTATGTAGGATTTTGTGTGTATCACTGAATATTGTTGCACTATTACTGCAACACATGGATACCTTCCAAATTGATGACTAATATCGTGACAGTGAATCAAGGTACTAGGTGTACCATTCATGTCTTGCCAAATTCAACCGTAAGTATTGGAGGCTGTAAAAAGAAATTATTGGTGGCTGCTATACATTCATATCTCACTAAAAAATAGTGTTATTAAAACCGGACTAGACTATCCGTTTCAATCAATTGGATCGTGAATCGGGACTTAAAACGGTCTGATTCTATAGTTAGAGCGCATAAGAAAGTAAACCGTCTAAGAACCGCTCAATCGGCCAATTTTAGACCAAACTAGTGAACCGGACGGATTGAATTTTATGAACTATATATAAAAAAAAAAAAAAAAATTTGGGCCCATTTACCCTAAATCAAATATTGATTTGTTGCTCCTTCACAGCTCAGTGGCCACTGAGGCGACCACCTACCACCCACCCACCACTCAGGCGACTACCCACCACCCACCCGCCACTCAGCCTAGGAAGAGAAGGCCAGGGAGGTGACCATCCATGTTGGTCTGGTTCATCGTTATTTTTTTTTTTTTATTAAAAAAAAATTTTCACCATGTTAGTACATAGGAATAAGAAAGAGAAACAAAAAATAGTTGAATTTGAGGGAAGATTGGGGAGTTTTGGACCTCCCCCATTTGGTTTCTCTAGTAGCAAAATGACAGAACCGAGTTGAAGTAGCTCTCTCTCTCTCTGAAATTTGGCTTAATCATTCTAACTATTTGCACTTGCACTCTGCTGGGTTTTTGTATTGGCTACATTTTGAGTATTTGTGTTTTGTTTTGTATTGACCTTGTTCTGTCCCTTCTTTTAATCATCTTTTAATTTATTTTTATTTGCTCCATGGGATTTTTATTTACTTGAAAATACGTTATTTTGTCTTTTTTTAATGTGCTTAATACTTAACCAGTGAACCATTGAATCATTAAACCATTGAGTCGGTCCCTTTATCGGCTCGATGACTGATTCGATTTTGATAACATTGCTCAAAAGACAAACATCATTTAATCAGAAATTAGTCTTGATCTAATGTGTAATGTTCATTTGATGCACGACATTGTGGTGTCTAGTTCAAAAATGTGCCATACAAAAGTGGGTATTTGGGAATTGTATTGTGCGGGAACAATTATTTACAAGGAATTAGGGATGTTCAAATTTTTGATTATCCATAAATTTTGACCTTATCTTATCCTACCCGACTTTGTTGATCGGCTATCTGAAAGAATCGAGTAGGCTAACATAAGATTTTTGGTATTTTGCAAACAATCGAGCAGAAATGCGGAATAACTATAAAATTTTCGTATTCCTACCATACCCCACCCAATATATATATATATTAATCCCTAAAAATTAAAATTTAAAAATTTAAAAATCCTAATGTTTTATTGATATTTATGACTTTCTTGTTGTGTTTTATTATAATTGTTTACGTATTATTGAATTTATTGTGTTTTCTTTGGTGTTATTTGCTTATTGTGTTAGTTCATTGGTACATGTTA